GAGCATTACTAATCTTTGGAAAAGAAAAAGAGTGTATGGGGTTCCACACCCTCTTCCCAAAGAAAAATAATTCCTGTAAGGGGTGAAAAAAGTTTAACTACCAACCCACAGGAGATAAAAGGACACATCAAAAGGCATGTGACTTGTCATTTCTGATTCCTTACTCAGAATTAGCATCAGCACCGGGTGAGATTCATATAAAACTCTCATAAATGAGTATTTGCCTCTCAGGGTCTGAGTGGAGGAGCGGAGTGACTGAAGGCCAGCGGTGGTGACAGGCTATCTGGACACCTTCAGCAGATGCAGCAATGCTGTGCCAGCACACACCCTGCCAGGAGGCCATGGTGACAGCCTGCTCCCTCGTACCACCTTCCTAAATTGCTAGGGTCACCTCCAGTAATCCTCTGACCAGACTCAAGCATTCTTTGGTTTCTTTCTTATACACAACTGTATTTAAATGTCAAGAGATCTCCAGATAACTTGGGAGATGACAGAAGCTGCATTTCTGATCCCGTTGGGTTTGCGTGGGTCGTGCGTGTCAAGCAGACAGGAATGACTCAAAGCCATAAGTAGACAGACTGAGAGGAAAAAGGTGAGAGACAGGGAATACTCCAAATGCCTGCTGCTGCACCGGGGCAGCCAAACTCCACGAGAAACAGGCCTGAAAGACTCAGAAAGAAAAAACCCCAACCCTTTCTAGATCTGGAAATAATTTCTTCTACACTTGAACACAGAAATGCAAGCAGTATGGGTGATTATCCCCTGCGAGGGAACGTATCTCTCTTGTTCCAGTCACTGGGGTGGCTCTCTCCGTCGCAACATTCATGTCTTTCAGCAGCATCAGTAGGCTTCACCCTCACGATGGATGGGAGGAGGATGATCTCTTGCTGCACAAATGAGGAAGTCAGTCATGGGGCAGATGAAGGAGGTTGCCCGAGAAGACACAGGAAACCTGTGACTGAGGCAGAGAACTGAACCCAGACCATGAGTTCCAGATGGGTGCCCAGTCCAAGCTGGGTGGCTGACAGATCACCTCTTCTACTGGGGCCTTGAAATTTAACTTTGGTGGGTTTTTTAATGAATGTGTTTTGTTGGGTTTTTTTTGGTGTTTTTTTGTTTCTGTTTTTTTTTTTTTTTTTTTCATTTGTCTAGCCACTACGTTTCATTTCACTCACACTTCTGCTTTGTGGAAGCTTTTTATTCTGCTTCTTTTTTGTTTTGGCTTAAAAAAAACAACACAGCTGAACATTAAATAGAATTTAACCTTCACTATTTGGTCTTCTCCCCTACCAACATCAGCCTCTCTACAGCTCTTACTGCTAAGTGTCTTTTGTTTATGTTCCCTGCACTCATAACTATGGCTTCATCAAAACATCAGTGATATTTAGAAGGAGATGTCTTATTCACAGCTTCAAAGAATTACAGCAATTGCTTATGCAAACAGCAGTGTTGTGAGGCAGCAGAGCAGATCTGGTGGGAAAAACAGAGAAAGGAGATGCACAAAAAAGGTAGGTTCCAAAGTAAACGCTCAGGCAGTGCTATGCATGATGTCAAATGAGCAAGCGGCTAAACAACAGCTACCAGTAAGCCACCACATCAGACTGCCTAGAATGTTTTACTGGCTTGGCTAATGAATCACTGGGCAAATGTGAGCAATTTGCTCGCACCCAGGGTAGTCTTTCTGGTTGGTGAGAACAGTATCTCTTCCATTATCATCATGATCTGTGGTTTAATTGATATTTGAAAACATATTAAGATCTTCCAGTGAAATGCACATAGTAAGTATTTCTAAGACAAAATTCTATGGTATTACACTATTTGCAAGGAGGTGCAACAAGTCAAACAGTTATTTCATGAAATAATTCACACTGGTTGAATCCCTTAAAGAAAGTCTCAAGATCTTGCGTGGGAAAAAATAGCTAATGTCCACCTGTGTACTAACACGGTGAAAAAGACTTCAGATTCTTGTGAAAAAATGCTGCAAAACCTCAAACTTTCAAAAGCGCCCAATATGCTATTTTCAGCTTATCTGGATGCAGCCCAAGCTATCCACAGCGAAGCAAGGTGCATCAAAAGACTGTCATCATTCCATTTCCACCACAGGCCTTCAGAAACTTGTGCCCACTGTGCATCCAAGGCTGTCAAGCCCTAGAAAATAACATAAGACTTCTATGCTTAAAGCAGCTGAGCAGCTGCAAAAATAGCTCTCTGAAAGTATTGAATACTTGGTCCCACTCAGCAGCTGGAAAAACAATTACTGACTAAAAAATTCAGTGTTTGATATTACTTAATAGCTGGGGAAAAACTATTCGTGAATCATAATTAACGTTTATTTAACTGTTTAAAAGCATGCATCTACTGTTTGAGGCTTCATGGAGCGCCAATACGTGGCCTTCTGGCACCATTAAGCAGACTGATCCAGTTAAATTGGAAGGACATGAGGCAGAAAGACACACTGGAATAGTGAATCCTTCAAGGAACTGGTATAACTGAGACTGCCTCAGTAGTGTGCGCCGCGCAACACCAGGTCTGAACCCGCTCTACTAAATGAGTAGCAACTACCTCACAGTAAATTAAACAAGCACACAGCTCCAGCTTCTGATGCCACAGTGATTCAAACACCATGACACAAACTGGATGAAAATCCAGCACTAAAAGCAAAAGTTCCCCCTGAAACAGCCACAAGGCTAACAGGCAACTCTATGGTGGTGCCGGCACGGGGCCGGGTGGCAGTGGGACTTCCTTCTGCCAAGTGCCAAGTGCTGCAGTGCCCTGCGAGAAAGGACCAGAAGCGCTTGTCACCCCTGGGGGAGCCAGGCTCTTGCCTCCCTCGCTGAAAGTGTGGCCAGCAGGACCAGGGAAGTGACCATCGCCCTGCACTCGGCACTGGTGAAGCTGCATCTCGAATACCGTCGTCAGTTTTGGGCCTCTCACCACAAGAAAGACACTGAGGTGCTGAAGCGTGTCCAAGAAACAGCAACAAAGCTGGTGAAGGGTCTAGAACACAAGTTTTATGAGGAGCGGCTGAGGGACCTGGGGATGTTTAGCCTGGAGAACAGGAGGCTGAGGGGAGACCTTACCGCTCTCTACAACTACCTGCAAGGAGGTTGATAGCGAGGTGAGTGTTGGTCTCTTCTCCAAAGTAACAAGTGATAGGATGAGAGGAAACAGCCTCAAATTGTGCCAGGGGAGGTTTAGACTGGATATTGGGAAAAATTTCTGCACTGAAAGGGTTGTCAAGCGTTGGAACAGGCTGCCCAGGGAAGTGGTGGAGTCACCATCCTGGAGGTATTTAAAAGACATGTACCTGTGGCACTTAAGGACAAGGTTTAGTGGTGGACTTGGCAGTGTTGGGTCAACAGTTGGACTAGATGTTCCTAAAGGTCTTTTCCAACCTAAATTAGTCTCTGATTCTGTGAACATAACAGCGGCTTGCATCAGGATGTAACTTACAGAAGCAGACAGGCCATTTACAGGAAGGATGTTGAAAATAAACATTTTGTCTTGTTCTAAATGTCTAATTAGAAAAGTTTTTTAGAACTTAGACTTTTCCGAGTCCTGATTTCCCCCAAAAAATTTCCTCACTTGTTCTCTGTCCATTTGCCATAGCTGAGCTGTCCCATTACTAACAGCAACTGGGTCCTTTTTTCATCTCATTCACATCCACCCACGCAGAATTAAGCTGAGCACCCCACAGGTTTGATAGGTGCAGAGAAAGAATTAAATGCCAGTCAGTGCATGTGGCAGATAACTGCTGGCAGAGCTGAGCCAAGGATTTTTGTCCAGCGCTACCTCACCTGGAGAGTGACCCAGCTGTATCTGCTGACTGCATTGAACAAAGATCCACAAACAAGAAATCTGTTTCATAAGACTGACTCAACTGCTTTGCCACTGGGTTTGAAGGACTCAGTGATGGGATTAGCATATATATATATATATATTTAAATCTAGTTTATGTATGGCAAAGGTAGCTTGTAGGGAGTATTTTGCAAGGTGCTGAGCAGTGTGAGCAGCCTGTATAATATGCTTAACTAAGTGATTTGAACTCTAAGTCACTAACTCTCCCACCCTTGCTCTCTGAAGCGACCATATTACCAGAGGCCGTTTCAAGGGAAATGTACTTCAGTCATAAATACTTCTCGCATCATACTTCTCATAACCTGCAGCAGCAGCAGCAGAAAAATGAAGGCAATATAAAAAGAAATAAAAGTTATAAAATTTCAGGTCACAAACATCCCCAAATGGATTATGCTTTCAAAAGGAACTGTATAAATGGTATGATGATGTTTTCTTGGTGTACATCTCGAAGTTTTCTAGGATGATGCTATTCCTTTTAAGTGCAAACGTGTCCTCAATGCCATACTCAATGCAATTGGCTTGTAACCTGAAATGGGGTCTTTTTCATCAACACGCACTCATCACGGAGACAGATGCAGCTGACCGAAGTCACTGCCCTTCACAGCCTACAGAGGTTCCCTAGCCGTACCCACAGCGTGTCCAAAGAGACAGACCAATGCTCTTTTTGGATTGGTTAGGGCAGCTATTCATGGACTATTTCAAATTGAGTTAGGCAGATCACAGTTTATGAAAATCTCCACAAAGCATTTGCCCCAGCAGGACTATACCAACACAGCTAAAATGCTGGAATGTGAAAACACTGTCGTGGATGAACATTCAAAAACCATGTATGCCACAGAGTGAATGACAAAATACATCAATATGTATTTTTCCAAATTTCTTTCTAGGCTTTTATGTAGCTGCCTGTTCTCAAAAGTGTTCACATACTACGCTGGGGAGTTTTTGAGTGAGTCAGCAAAGAGCCTTTAAAGGGCTTTAGCTCTATGTTTCAGACATGGGAGTGTTCGTGTTCCCACATGCATTGCTAATGTCTACTAGATGTTAAGAGTAAAACTATTAAATTATAAGGAACAATCAAGACATCTAAAAAATGCCCCAAATCTGAGGAAACCATTTGATGCTGCTTTTGCAAAAATACTTACGTACAACACAGTCCTGCAAGTGATTTCCAAGAAAGCCAGTTGCTGCTCTAGACTGTTTATTGGATGGTGTGGCTCAGCTCTTTCATACAAGCAGCACCTACAGTTATATCTAGAAAAGGAAACAAAACCAGTAATTCTTTGTGAGCAAATACGCAAATAAAGTCCTCTTTCTTTTTAAAACCATAACCACGTTAAAACTAGCTTTAATGGGACACGATAAAGTTCTCATGACAAGCTTCATGGGCACTGCTTGCTTACAGGAACAAGCTCCAAGGCGCAGTCAAAGCCGACCTAGGGTGCTGAAGTCGAGAGTGACTGCGCTTGAGAAAAAAGCCCCATGCCGAGCCTATCAAAGCAGCAAACAAATGCGCACAGCTGTTCTTCTCATCTAGTTCTACTTAAAACATTTGCAGGAAATGCAAGATGAAATACTGGTGTCTGCGCCAAAAAATGTAGGTGATTTCAGCAAGACCAGGAATTCCAGGCACCAACTTCTTTTTCCTCTCTTGAGTGGGTGTTCGCTTGTAAGTTGTAGACATGTTAGCAATTCAACGACTGAGTGAATTAATGTTCAACTTAACAGTCATTGTTAGGTTGGGAGGTTATTACTGCCTGTTCTGCTGAAGTGACAGGTTAAAATAGGTTTGTACCTGAAAAGTTGTTTTCAACAATACATATTCCCTGGCTTTTTCTACCAAATAATTTTCTTCCATCATGTCATCTCCTATTATATGAACCATCACTGCCAGCTCCACCGCAGAAGCTGGGCTAGGCAAGTAGAAACAGCAAGGGGACAGGCGAGGAAGAGAGAGCGCTCAGATCCCTGCACTTCTCTTTGGGCTGCCATCTCACTTTTTCTCCCAGGCATCTTAGGCCATTTATGCAAGACTTCTCAACAGAGAAGCATGCTCACATTTGCAGGACATGTTCTGCTTAAAAAGCAGAGAAGTGAAGGCAAAACCCAAGAGTAAAGAGAGGGCTCTACTTCATCTGGCCATGAGCCTGAGAAACCTGTTTGCTATCAGGCACTACTTGGTGCAAGGGATGGAGAATTGTGATTTCCCAACTTTGCAGGTGATTACCATTAATGGAAAAACAAAATTTTCAAGGTTGAGCTCACTGGTATGGAAGAGAAAAAAAATACCACCACATGTCAAGTTTTTGCAGACTCAGATAGATTTTGTACTAGTATATGAGCTTTCATCCTTCCTTCCCTCCCTCACTTTTTTTTTCTTTTAGGGTAGCTCACAAGCTGCTGACAACTCACACTGTACTAAGAGCTGTTCACACCGCACAAAGTGTTTACCACTCACAACTGATGCTAAAAATTAATTTACAGCACCGCTACAGCAAGCTTTGACAAATTGTCATGTGTTGACACAGTCATAAGTTGTTGGTTAAAAAAAGTAACACTTCCCTCTTCTGCCACCTCATGTTTGAGACCAGGGATGGGCACATTATGCAAAGTTTGAGGGTATGTAAGCTTCACAAATGTTTGGGCTTCACAAAACAAGCTCGGTTGTGAAAGTTTTTTCTCTTACAGTTAGGCATGTGTTTATTGCCAAAAAGACTCTAGTAAGAAAAAAAAATAAAAACCCCTTCCCATCTACCAAGATCTGTGTTGTGCAAAACTAGGAGAAAAGGCTGTAAAATAAATAACCTCGCATGATACTTGTTCTAGATAAGATCAGACTAGTGACAAATACTCTGTATCATCTACTCAGAGCTGCAGACATCACCTTCCTATTGTGGAGAGGAAGGGAAAAAAAATGTAGCTGCAAGTGAGAGTTTTAATTGTTCTCAGCTGTCACAGAATGTTATCTTAAGTGAACGCATTTATTTCTCAATTCTTCTGTATAGCTCTATATGGAAAAAAAAAAAAAAAAAAGAAGTGGCATTCATCAGACAAGGTCCAAATTGATTTCCATGTACTCAAGATAGTAAGTGTTAGTCAGCACTGGTCCCCAGGAGTGGCAGCTCTTAATTCTAACTCCTCCTCTTCTTCCTCAGGGCAGGATAAATAATCTCTGTAGTTTACACCCTGGAATGACTAATGGACACAAAGGTGGTCTCAGCTGAAATGAGCAGTGCTTCGGTGGCCATGCTAACTTAAAATGTTAGCTCCACACTAGCCTCAATCAAGGTAAAGAAACAAGGCCAAGGATGGAGAGAACCAAACCAGCAGGAGATAACCAAGACATCCATTTGGTCAAGGTGTCAACTACTTTAAGTTATTTTTGTTTTTCTTGTCTTCTGGAGCTTAAGTCCCCCTGCACTTCTGTAGAGACACCCATGTAAGCTGTCACCCAGCAACCAAACCAAGCCGTCCGGTTGGTTTTGCCTCCAGCATCGCTGATGGACAACTGCCAGTGCAGGAGAGAAGGGGAGGCAGGCTGAACGAGCACTCTCAGCGCCTGCCAAACGTGCTTCATGAGGAGCACTTAAAAGCTACCACTTTATGTTGCATACCAGTGACCTGGACTTACACTGCTCCAATACCTCTCCCTAAGATCCACCATCTCTCAGAGCACACACCATGCAAGAACACAGAGAAAATTCATTCAGGGAATTAATTTGGCAATACAAGAATTAATGTTGGGTTGGTTTTTTTTTTTCCTCCCCCTAACACTTGTACAGAGAAGAGATGCTTGGAGTGGTTCCTCAGTACCAAAGGTTCACTGAACCCTTGTAGAAGCAATCCACTTGCCCCATGCCTGCACTGGTAGAAGAGTCATCCACGTAATTTCTCTACAAAACTCAAGACACATAACATCAAAGAAAAAAGAGAAATTCATATGGACTCTTCACATGCTCAGACCTCATACACCCTGTACAGAATTTCTTCATCATCTGAGATGTTATTCTGACAAATGACACATAATACTCTCTGATAGATTTAATGGAAGCAAAGGACATTTACGTCATTACAGTCAGGGTGGACATTATCTTGTGCTGCTGACTGGAATGATATCATCCATGCTTAATTAGCTTCGATTGCTGTACATTTAGAAAAGCACTCAAGTGGCAACTCCTACCTCTCTCCCCCAAAGTAACAAAAATGTATAAATATTTTCAGTGCATCATTTCAATGCATTATTTCACTGGGTTCAGTCCAAGAGTCAATGAAGTTGAAATAAAGATGATTCAACTATTAAGTCAGAAACCTTGGCTGTGTAACTACCCAGAAAGTAACTCTAATTTTCCTCCACCTTGGAGGAAAACTAATAAAATCTTAAATTTTACTCTAAGTTATCTTAACAGCCCAAATACAATCTCTCCTGTGCATTTTTACTTCTTTGCTGTCTGGAAGGAAACATAAGAAACTTAAACTCCCTAAGTTCTTACGTTGGGATGGAAAAAGCCCAAGACATCTCCACTAACCCAGTGAAGAACACTATTAGGGAAAAAGTGAGACGGGATTTTCTGGTTCTTTTGTTTTGTTTGTTTTTGTTTCCTTTTTCTTTGAGAACAAGGATCTATTTACTTGTGACAAGTTTTTTCCTGATGGATCCAACTTGTAAGAGTGAAGAAATCACCCACAAGCAGAAGGGCCTTTCTTGCCAAGTCCCTTGTGTGAGTTTGTGCCTGCTCTAACCAACGCAGGTGCTGTGCAGGAAGGTTCAACATCGGGGAAGTGCAGAGCGAGGCTCTCCTGTGGCCTCCCTGCACTGCACCTCTCTGCTCTGCCCTTCAGGTTTTCTCATGGGGAGGATGGCAGAGTCTTGGCCCACCCCGCAGCTGCACTCCCTCCTGCTCCTATTTGCAGGGCATTAGAAGAAAGCCTTAAAGGTGACATTTGCCCCAGCAAACCCTCGCCAAGACTTCAAAACCAAAAGGGAATGTATGAAGCTGTCCTGTTCTCTTGATGATGCACACATGACACCAAAGGGGTAAATATATATATTGAATATATACACTGAATATGCACTGGGTAGTCACTGCCTGTATGGGATGCAGACTGTGTGAAACAATCTCCCCTGGCTAGAAATTAAAAAAAAAAAAGGAGGGTTGCAGCCTTCTTATTCCCTGGGGACCACTCTTCCATTCAGTGAGGACAGGATGCTAACCCAAACACTTCAGGGCTGCTGGGTGGGGTTTAAGTGGGCCTCTCTTCTCCTGAGGAAAGTGGCACCAGTGACTAAGTACACTGTGGGCAATTTTCCTGTCTCTGCTCTACGCCCGTCTTCACGTCACTGCAAAGGTCACCACGTCATATCTATTCACTGAGGTCTGCCACCCACCAGCAAACAGGGAAGCAGCTTATCTGGACAGTCTGGCAGCACCTCCTGTGAGCATTTGGGGGTGGGGGGAAACCTTATAGCTTTCCACCTGGGGAGAGCAAGGAGTGGGGGTGCTCCAAAAATGGCTTCAGCTCTTAAACCTTAAGAAGGGACTGAGATGCTCAAATTGCCTTGAACTGAAAGGACCTCAACCTACACCAGCTTTGCACAGCAAGCTTTGCTCAGCAAAGCCCAGGCCCTGAAGAAGCTGCTCCCTTCCTGACTCTTCCTCCCCAGTGCAGGAGAGGGAGCAGTGGGAAACAGGATCTCTGTAAGCGCGAAGCAGTGGGAAAAGGCATCAGATCTTTGTCTGTGCCCCTCTGGAGCACACCTCGTCCTTCCAGTCCTTTCAAGGATAATGAACTTGGTGGCCCTATGAAGAGTTTAATCACTTGAGAGCCAGCATCTGTATTCCCCCTTTGCCTCTCCATCAAAAAGGAATTGCAAGGGGCAGATTGGAAACTGCCTGCCCCACACACACGACTGTACTCATGCACGTGTACATGGGCATCCCTCTCCTTTGCTTTACTATCTAACTGTATACACTAATGTATTTTTCATTACTTCCTTATCACTACATCTATTGTATGGTGTGTAATGATCAATGCCAGCATTACTGATAGCATTAGCACAGAAGCATGCAATTCACTGAAATAGGACTTTCTTCTTCCCCAACTTCTCACAGCCAGTTTTGTTAAATCCATCTGATTTCTTGCCTGACTTGTGTCCACTCAGATCAAACCTTTATCAAAGCTGGAAGCATTTTGTCTCTAACAAATACACTCCCATCCTCCCAAATCAAATCTCTACTTCTGGCTGAGACAATGTC